TTTTTTATTGAGACAGAGTCTCATTATGTCGCCCTTGGCAGAGTGCTGTGGAGTGCCGTAGCATCATAGTTCACAGCAACCTCAAAATCTTGGGCTCAAGTGATTCTCTTGCCTCAGCCTCTCAGGTAGTTGGGACTACAGGTGCCCACTACAATGCCCAGCTATTTGTTGTTGTCTAGCAGGCCTGGACTGGGTTTGAACCCACCAGCACCCGTGCATGTGGCCAGCGCCCTAACCACTGAGCTACGGGCAAACCCCCCCCAATTACATGCTTTGTTAGTGTCTGTGGCCTCCCTCATAGCTTGACAGGACTGTCTTCCTAAAGTCTTGCTCTTTTCCACCTCCCCCATCAGCCAGAACCCCTAGAGTAAGAACTACCAATTCTTTACAAAGGGGGAGTGAGTGCCAAGAGCTCTGATTGGTGATGCATTGCTACAGGAATGTGACAGTTTATTACTCTGGTTGAGGTAGACTCCGTTAAAAGTTTATAGCTGTGGCTGGCTAAGGGGACCCTGTGGGACTCCTGTCCCTTAGAATTTACCTCTTCCACGAAGGGGATGTGTGTGTATTTTGGGGTCTGCCTGTTTGTGAATGTCTGTGTACTGTTGCACAAAAGTAGGAGTTACCTGGAGAAACAGAACAAGATCTGGAAAGGGGTTGGGGCAAGATCCCCAGTAGGGGCTGATCTGGGTAAGGAGCTCAGGGGTGCAGGATAATGTAAACTATCCTGACTCCAGTTAAGCTGAATAAGGGTTCAGTATTTGTAAACCTTGTGGCCTTAATCCCTTAAATTTTCCTTGACGCCTTAGTTTCTTGCCAAACTTCGTCTTTGTAGAACTCCCTCTTGATCCGAACTGGGTAAGGATGGAAGCAGGAAGTGCGCCCCTAGGGACCGCGACGGGAGCAGCATGTCAAGACTCCCTCCAAACCCACCCCTCTAGACCGCACAAGACTCCAGCCATCGCATCCTCCTCTGCCACCCATGCCCGGGCCACTGTTCGTACCTGCCTCTTGCAGACAGTGTGCGTAGCAGCCTGCGCAGCTCACCTCCTCCTATGGAACCTCGCAAACAGTGATGCTGGGGCTGGGAGTAGGGAGGGAACAAGAGCGCGACATTCTGTCATCAAAAGCGCGCTCCCTTTCCCTCAGCGGGGCTCCTGTCCAACACCTACTCCTTTCCTAACTCACTTAAAGACCAGGCTGGGACCGGACGAACCAGGTCTTGAGTGCTTCCCCGCCCCCCACTTCGAATCATTCCCAAACCTTCTCAGACTGCATCTGAGGCTCTGCACGCTGCCTCTCTCTCCCCGCTGCCGACAGAGGAAGGCCAGGTGCGCTGGGGCCCTGCTACCCCATGTCTGCCCCCGAACCCCCACCCTCTCGCAGCCATCCCTCCAATCCCTCCTCCTCTACCCACCCTCCTCCCACCTCCACCCCCATGCCCAGCACCTAGGGAATTCCAGAGCAAACCTAGCGATTCAATTCCGGGTCTGGTGAAGAGTGGGCGAGGCTCGCAGGGCAGAGAGACCCCCAAGATGTCACGGGGCGCCCAGGAGGAAGGAGTTACCACTGGTTCTTAGAGGATTTTAGGACGGACGGATGACTTGCTTTGACGCCTGCCTGGTCTGTGGGTCTAGGTCTTAAAGCCCGGTCCCAACGGCGCGGAGAGGATTTGGGGAGAGCGCCCCCTCCTCACACCCTCTCCCTCTTCCACGTTCTCCCCACCCCATCAAACTTGTAGAAGCAGACTTGCCCTTTTCGCTGCCCGCGTGGCCACACTAGCAGAGCCCTGGTTAGGGAAGGGACATCTCCATCTGAGAGCTACGAGTCGCTGCTGTCTCACCTGGAGCGTTTGGGTCCGCAGGAAGCACCTCGACAGATCCCCAACTCCAACTTCTATCCCGCCCCACTCCGCCCTGCCCCGCCTTACAGCCAGCCGCGCCATCCACTCGTCACCCCCAGCCCCGCCCGCCCGCCCGGGCGCAGAGCTGGAGAGGCAGGCAGGCGAGAGCCGGCTCGCCGGCGGAGTCAGGAGTTAGGAGGGAACCACGCAGCAGTCCGAGGCTCCGGGGACGCCGCAAGTACAGGTCAGATCCGGAGCGCTTCTGCTGGCCCACTGGCCTGGGCACTCTAGGGGAGGGCACTCCAAGCACAGGGCCTTAGTGTAGGCGCCCCAGCTCTGCCTCATTTTTTTTCCAGGGAAGTGAAATTCTAATCCCCCGTGCACCTCCGATGTTATCCTAAGACTAAAATGAACCCTGTTAGGGCCTATACTCTGCCCTACCAAAGTTTTGAATGAATAAGTTCTTGGGACCTGGGAACGTTGGGTGGCTTTCTTTGCCTGGGGGATCTCCTGGCACCAGCACAACATGCCAGAGTGGGAACTCTGGGCTTTTAGAATCCGGGCTTTGCCCCCTCAATCCTCCCTTTGTACCAGGTTGGAATCTATGATTTTGATTTGTCTTTCCCCAACCCCAGGGCCACCAGAGTCATCACTCTAGAACTTCAACCAGGGAAGCCTGTGTTCTCTCCCCGGTTCTGCCACTGCCTGGGGCTTCACTGCCCTGTGCTGGGGTTGTGTCTTCCTTTCAAGGTTGTTGAGAAGTTACTGCTCCATTTGCCATGTAAGTCATTAAGGGGTACCCATCCACAAACAGCAGGAAGGTGGTTATTAAGCATGCCCTCCTCCTCTTCAAGCATCTCCACAGCCTGTCCTGAAAGCCCACCGCATGCCCTCAGGGGTTGAGTGGTACATTAAGTGTTTGGAGCCCAGGATCTTGAAGAGACAATGGTAAGGTAGAAGGGACAGGACATCTTAGGTTAGGGGAAGACCACTATGGCTACTTTAGCATGTCCAGCCTTGTAGCCTTAACCATCCAAAGCCCAGCTCTTCGCACACTATCAAAGGTCAGCACCTGGACAGACTCTGTGGGATGGAGTGGGTAGAACACTGAACTTTTGAGTTATGGCAAAGCCTGGGTGTTTTCATGTGTTTCATGGGAGATAGGAAGTGGGGATGAGGTCACTCTCTGGGTCTCTATGATCAGACAACCCAGCCAGGAGCCTTGAGGTATGGGTGGAGATGAGGCTTCCCCTGGGCCCCCTATTTCCTCTGTCCTATCCCTAATCTCCAAGGTACTTTTAGGAGATGCTCAGTAGCCTTAGGTACTCCTTGTGCCTCTCAGAATTCCCAGCCTGCATCCCCTGCTATCTCTGTTTTCCTATTGTCCCCAGGTGGTTTGTTGGGCTAGGGAGAGACAGCAGGAAGCACACACTAAAACACTTGAACACCTGGAACTACATACCTTCTGAATCTATCTAGAGGAGCCAAGCTTCAGCCTGACCGCTCTACAGCACATTTGCAAAACACCTGTTACTTTTCTTGCTTTGAATTCAACCAGAGTCTCACATCTGAGTCTGGCAACCAATCTGGGAAGTAAACAGTTCAGGTATATTTACTCCCATAGGCCAAAGAGGAAACCAAGAATCAGGTAAGTTAAGTGACTTACCCAAGATCCCAGGGTGGACTGGCTGCAGCAGTGAGACCTCAGCCCTTGTTTCCTGATACCCACGGCTCTGTCCAAGGAACAAGCTCTCTGGGAAGGTGGGCCAAGGCAAGATTTTCCAGCTAATCTTAGAAGGTAAAGTTCATTAAGACACGGATTTCTGTTTGTTTTGTTCATCTCTTAATCTCCAGTGCCCAGTACATAGTGGGTGCTCATCAAGTATTCGTTGAGAGAATAAAAGAATTTTAGGAAAGTGTGAGTCTCCTGGATTTTGCTTCTATAGCCTTGGCCCAGCCCCAGGCTTTGTTCATAGGGATGTGCAGAAGCTTTGGTCTGATTCTTCTGAACAGCTGGATCTCACTCTGTGTTCTTTTCTAGAGTCTCCATTTTGAGGTATCCGAACACACAAGTTCTTATTATTTTCATCATGCGCTTCTGCCTGGCTCTGGCATGGACACTGCTAGTTGGTCCTTGGGCCCCCATGGGTGAGTACAGATTGGAGGACAAGTATGATTAAGAGCAGAGGGACTTAGGAACCTCTGGGCTCCCCCAAGGACAGGATCTGTGTCATATTCATCTCCGTATCCATATTCCCTGACTAACATAATGCCCTGGAGGTGATAGGAGCTCTAGATTTTGAATAAAAGAATAGCTAAAGGAATGAAAATTATCCCCAAATACACAAAGGAAAGGAGTCTTCAATGACTGTTTCAGCATTTCCTATTTTATCCCTTGCAGTTTGGAGGCCCTTTGTCCTGTCTCTTTCCTCTCTTTCTTTTTAACACAGTCTCAGTCTATCACCTTGGGTAGAGTGCCCTGGCATCATCATATCTCAAAGCAACTTCAGCCTCTTGGGCTCAAGTGATCCTCTTGCCTCAGGCTCCTGAGTAGCTGGGACTATAGGTATCCTCCATGACACCAAGCTAGTTTTTTTATTTTTAGTGGAGATGGCATCTCACTCTTGCTCAGGCTGGTCTCCAACTTGTGAGCTCAAGCAATCCACCTGCCTTGGCCTCATAGAGTGTTAGAATTACAGGCATCAGCTGCATCAGCCTCTTCTCTCTTTTTCTATGAAGTAAGGCCCATGACTGAAAATTGAAAAAAGATTGATTAGACACAAAAGACAATAAGGGATCATGGGATAAGATTGGACCCAAAGCTGAGGAGGAGTCACCAGTATTTTAAAATGATATAATCAGAAACAAAAATAATATGATCCACAAGAGTTTGATCTTGCTATCTTCAGCTTTGGTAAGTTTCTTACTGGAATTAGAGGCTGCTCTCTGTAGTCCGGGTCTCTGGGGAGGGAGGTGGGTTTAAAGTGCCACAAGTTAGGCACTTGCAAAAAGAGCGAGTCTTAAATCATTAGGAATGGGAAATACAAAAGCAGAAGCAGAGAAAACCTGTGGAATGGTCTGTCCTGGCTGGAGGTGACAGGATGGTGGCAAGGCCCCAGAAGCTTCTCCATTGCCAGAGGAACATTCACACTCTTTCCAGCTCTCTTCTTTCCTTGGACTTTGGTTTTCCTTTTCTCCCCCAGCTCTTGCCTCTTATCCCCAAGAAGCACTCTCCCTGTGTCCTCCCCAAAGGTTCCCTCCTTGCTCTGTCACTAGTTCATCTTATTTTAGTGATCACCTGTATGTGGCTGCCCTAGTCCCTGCCCCAATTCTCGGACCCTCAGCTGGGTTCGTTGCTCAAACATCAGGCCCAGTTATTTTCCCTCCCTGACCCCCTGGTGAGTGCGTATTTGTGTGTCTGTGTGAGTGCATGTCGGGTGAGAGTGTAGCTCAGAGACCCTGTTCTTGGTCTGGGTGGGGAGAGCAAGAGTCCTTTTCTTTTGTCTATTCTCTGAGGTGAACAAAAAGGGAGCCTCAGCTCTGTAGCCTCCCAATCTGGGTAAACGAATCTGGCCAGGTCATTTGATCTACTGACCAGAAAGGTCTGAGCTCCACCCCTCATTCTGGACCCTTCCCTCTGTTCCTTGTTCCTCAGAGCTTCCCTCAACAGCTGAGCGCTTCCTAGTTTTTGGAAAGTATAATAGGCTAAAGAGAAAGAATTATAAGGGAGACAAGATGCCCCAAACGGGAAAAGGGCAAAGTCATTTATACAACCAGTCCCGTCCCTGGTCCTACCCAAGAAACTAGAAAAAAAAAATAGAGTAGCAACACCACACCCATGCCTGGGGCTCTGCTCAGCCAGAGAGGGCTAGGCCCTTCTCCCTGCTGCCCCTGCCCAGGGACTGGTCAGAGAATGATCTGTGCTTCCCAGGTATGAGGTGTGGCTTACTCATACTCTGTGAGGTGTCTTAGGGCTAAGGATGGTCTCTGTTTCTGCTCTGTCCTGGGGAGATGAGGTATGAAGGGGACAGGAAACCTGTGTGTCCTTTTCCCCATCACCACTATTCTTTCTTCTCTTCCAGTCCCCACTTTCTCTTTGAGGCCATTTGTCAGCACACACTGCACCCCACTACACTACTTTAGTGTTCCCCACCATGTCTCCCCTGCTGAGTAGCTTACAGATTGGGCTTGAGTTTGGATATTACTTTGTCCTGGTTTCTCCTTCTGTACTTTGCCTCCCATACCTGTGCTGGGTGTCCACTTTCTTCTGCTCCATGTGCCAGGCTCATGGAACCCATACCCTGTATACCCGCCTGTCCTCTCATAGGCTGATTCCCTCTATTCTCACACAGAAGCTGAGAACCCCATTTCGTGGGAGGTGCAACGATTTGATGGGTGGTACAACAACCTTATGGAGCACAGATGGGGCAGCAAAGGTAGGTGAGAGCCAAGTGGAAACAGAGTCCCAGGCCAGGGTAGTACTTGATGTCGGAGAGCAAGAGCTGGCAGGTACTAGCAAATGCCATCCATTTCTGAGGTTGTAGGATCTCTGGTGTGGTGGGAAGCCTGGGAGAGAGGAGGCCAATAGCGCCTCTTGAGGATTCCTTGTCCTTTCTCCTCCTACTCCAGGCTCTCGGCTACAGCGTACAATCCCAGCCAGCTATGCAGATGGTGTCTACCAGCCCTTGGGAGAACCCTACCTGCCCAATGCCCGGGACCTTAGCAACACTGCCATGAAGGGCCCTGCAGGGCAGGCCTCCCAGCGAAACCGAACGGTGTTGGGGGTCTTCTTTGGTGAGGACCTCAACTCTGTGGGGGGAATCTAGTGGGGTCAGCTCTGTGTCTAAAGAGGGGTCAAGGAATGAAGAGAGAAGTGAGGGAGGATCTGAGACATGAGAGAGAATTGGGAGAGGACGCAGTGGGGTAGAATGAAGCAGAAGCTGGGGAGGGAGGATCCATGCTGAGGTGAAGTCTAGTTGGGGGAGGCAGAAAGATGAAGGATAGAGTTAGGGAAAAGGGGCATCCCTCCATGTTGGGCTGTTGGTGGGGGTAGGAGTAAAGGCAGGAGCATGACAATAATATAGTCTCCCTGGGAACTCTTCTTACTCTTTGTCCCCAAGGCTCCTAAAGCAGGCTGAGGGGAGGTCAAACTGGGAGTGCTAGGGTGTCCTAACCCAGTTATTGAGTAGTGGTGAGTAGCTCCAGAGGAATGCCTAGCACCCAGGGCACCCATGCTTGCTTGCCAGTGTCCCATGTCCCTCTGAGGCTGTCAGGCCCTCCAGGCAGGCTTCCAGCTGCATGTTGGAGCTGGTGCTGCCGGCCGGTTTGCCTAGGCACACTCACTGGGCACCTCCCAGTTACCAAGGAGAAGCCCAAACTGTCAAAGACAACAGCATGGACCAGGTGTAGGCACAGATGGGCCAGGAGAGACAAAGGGTTGGGAAGGAGTGACTGTGGTCAAGGCTTGGACTTGCCCATAATGGCTGGTGTATCTTTTGAAGCTTCAAGGGAGGAAGGGAGATCTAAGGTAGAAGGAGGGTGACCCTGGGCCCTAGCATCCTCTTCACTGTGGCCAGGCTACCACGTGCTCTCGGACCTGGTGAGTGTGGAGACGCCCGGCTGCCCCGCCGAGTTCCTCAACATCCGCATCCCACCCGGGGACCCTGTGTTTGATCCCGACCAGCGCGGGGACGTGGTGCTGCCTTTCCAGAGGAGCCGCTGGGACCCCGAGACCGGACGGAGCCCCAGCAACCCGCGGGACCTGGTGAGGGGTGACCAGTGGCGGGAGGGGGGCGGGACCCCGGGCAGGTGCGGCCCTGGGCTCCCGTCTGCACTCACCTGCCTCCGCTCCCCGATCCCCTGCTCACCCGCCGCGTGGCCCCGCAGACCAACGAGGTGACGGGCTGGCTGGACGGCAGCTCCATCTATGGCTCTTCACATTCCTGGAGCGACGCGCTCCGGAGCTTCTCCAAGGGACAGCTGGCATCGGGGCCCGATCCCGCCTTCCCTCGAGACTCGCAGAACTCCCTACTCATGTGGGCCGCGCCCGATCCCGCCACCGGGCAGCGCGGACCCCAGGGGCTGTACGGTGAGGCCGCGGGGCCGGCGTGTGGGGGGCGCGGGGCTCTGGCTGGGGCTCTGCGCCTTTGGGTTCCCTTGGTCACGCCACCGCTCTCATGTCCTGCTCTCATCTCCTGCCTTGTGTCCCCACGCCGCCGTGTGCAGCCTTCGGGGCCGAGAAAGGGAACCGGGACCCCTTCCTGCAGGCGCTGGGCCTGCTCTGGTTCCGCTACCACAACCTGTGGGCTCAGAGACTGGCCAGC